CCTGTCTCAAAAAAAAAAAAAAAAAAAAAAAAAAGAGAAAAGAGTCATAAGAAGTTGCAAAGAAATGCGCAGCAGGCCTGGGCAGTCTCCCCCAGAGCTGACTCATGCGTAACCACAGAATCAACGTCTGCAAGAACCCACAGGGTAGATCTAGATCTCATAGCTGGGCACACACTCATCTGCATCTCCGTGTATGTGCCCATGTGAGTGAGACTTTATGCAATCCCATCACGCGTGTCACTTTTCGAGACTGTAACAAGAGTAAGAACTTCACCGCCAGTTCCCTCCTGCTGCCCATGTACAGCCACACCCTCTTTAATGGTTAATCTTGCTTCCCCATTTAGCTGGCTTGAGACACAGCTAGAAGACTAGTAAAGCACACGTTTGGGTATGTCTGTCTAGATCGTGGGTGCCTCTTCTTCTCTGCCTCTTCTCCTGTTCTCTGCTGTCCAGAGGCCATGAGGTAAGCAACTTTCCTCTGCCATACACTTCCATAGGGCTAAAGCAATGTAGCCAGCTGACCATAGACTAAAACCTCTGAAACTAGCTGGGCTTGGTAGTGCATGTCTATAATCTCAGCACTTGTGAGGCTGAGGCAGAAGGATGCTAACAGGCCAGTATGAACTACATAGCAAAACCGTATCTCAGAAAACAACAACAACAAAAAACCTCAGAAACTATGAGGCAAAATGAATCTTTTTTCCTTTAAATCTCTTCTACCTGGGCCTAGGGATTGAACTCAAGGTCTTCACAGAGCTATACCTCTGATTTTTAAAATTTTATTTTACTTTTTAAGACAAAGTCTTTTTTTTTGGTCTTTTTGAGACAGGGTCTCACTATGCAGTTCAGGCTGGTCTTGAACTCATTTTGTAGCCCAGGCTGGCCTCAAACTCAAAGCGATCCTCCTGCCTCGGCCCCCTGAGTGCTGGGATTATAGGCATGCACTTTTTTTTTTTTTTTTGGTACCAGGAATCACACTCATGAACTCATACTTTCCAGACAGGCACTGTGCTGCTGAGCTATATCCCTGGCTCCAGGCTGGGCTTGAACTTGCAATCCTCCTGCCTCAGCTTCCCAGACTGCTGGAATTATAGGCATGCGGTACCACACCTGGCTTCTTAAATTATTTATCTCAAGTATTTGTCATGGCAACGCTGACGAACACACTCGTCAACCTCCCCAGCAGTCCGCAGCCCTGAAAACCACTAATCTGTTCTCCATCTCCATAGCACTGTAATTTCAGGAACATTATGATTACAAGACCTTCTGAGCTGACCTTTGTCACTCAGCATAATTCCTTTGAGGTCTGCTCATGCTGTGGTGTGTAATGATACTCCTTTCCTTCTTATTGCTGGCTGATAGTTCATGTTATGGGGGGACAAATTTGTTTAACCATCTGTGTTTAAAGTACATTTTGGTTGATTCCAGTTTGGGGGTATTATAAAAGAAAGTATCCATGACTGTCCCTTTACAGCTTTAAGGGTGGACATGGATTTTCATTGCTTTGTGTGTGTGTGTGTGTGTGTGTGTGTGTGTGTGTGTGCGTCTTTTTGAGACAGGGTCTCTCCATGCAATTCAGGCTGGCCTTGAGCTTACAACACAGACTGGTCTCCTCACAACCATCCTCCTGCCTCAGCCTCCTGAGTGCTGGGATTACAGGCATGCACCACCACACCCAGCTTTCATTGTTTTTGGATAGATGTCTTAGTGTGGGGTTGCAGCTCACGTAGTACTTATGTGTTTATGCTCATAAAAAACTGCCAACTTACTTATGTCTGTAATCTCAGCACTACGGAGGCTGAGGCAGGAGGATCACAAGTTTGAAGTCAGCCTGGCGTACATAAAAAGAGCCTCTTCCAAAACTCAAAAGAAAAAAAACAAAACTCAAAAAGAATAAAGAAGAAAAGAAAGAGCGAGGAAGAAGGAAAGAAAGAAAGAAAGAAAGAAAGAAAGAAAGAAAGAAAGAAAGAAAGAAAGAAAGAAAGAAAAAGAAAAAGAAAAGACCCGGGCATGGTGGCACATGCCTATAATCCTAGCACTTGGGAGGCTGAGGTAGGAGAATCATTGTGAGTTGCAGGCCAGCCTGGGCTACAAAGGTGAGCTTAAGGCCAGCCTGAACTGCATAGTGAGACCCTGTCTCAAAAAGACAA